GCTGATTTCTTCTTCTGCACAGCCCTGGCAGCCTGGAGAAACCAAGGAAAGGAGGTGGTGGTGAGGTGAGGGTCGGGCTGGGCTCCCAGGGAATGGGACAGGAGCAGAGGGAACGGCCTCAGGCTGGGCCAGGGCAGCTCAGGGTGGGCACAGCAGGAATTTCCCCATGGAAAGGGGGCTCAGGGCAGGCTCAGGGTGGGCACAGCAGGAATTTCCCCATGGAAAGGGGGCTCAGGCACTGGAACTGCCCAGGGAGGTTTGGAGTGCCCATCCCTGGAGGTGGCACTCAGTGCTCTGGGCTGGGGACAGGGTGGGGATGGGGCACAGGCTGCACTTGATGATCTGTGAGATCTTTTCCCACTTCAGTGATGCTGGGATCCTGTGATTTTTATGATTTATGATTCTATATGCACGACTGTAATTTGTGGGCATTTCCTGCTGACTGCCAGTGAGCTCCTCCACAAACCTCCTTCACCCTGGCTGCTTCCAGCCCAGCTCACACCCATCCCACCTCTTTGAAAGTCCTTGTTCCAGGAGCAGCTGCCCACAGGGACACTCTCCAGAGCTCATTCTTGCAGCTTTCCTGTTGCTAGCAGGGGGACAGGGCACAGGGGGCACAGCTCCTTCCACTGAGTGTTGATGGAGTGGCAAACATTGGATTCAGTGGGGAAAATAAAGGTGGAAATCTTGTTTCCTGCCCCAGCTGCTGCTGTGGCCATTTCCAGGCCTTTCCCTGCCCTTCCAAGCAGGATTCCATAGTGAATTTCATTTGGAGTGAGCAGAAATGAATCTGATTGAGATGAGGATGGACAAGGATTGCTTTCCATGGATGTGATCAGAATCTGGCTCACTTGATGGGTGTTTAAAACCTGGTTTAGTCTGTGGGGGCTAAACCCCACAAAAAGGGACTTGAGGTTCAATGGTAACAGAAATTGTGGGGCACCAATGGCTTTTCTTTGCATGAAAGGAACTGCATGCAAGGGAAATTGTTAATTATCACAGCACACATTTTTATGGTTAACGATTTAGGTTGTTCTGAGAGGCAATAGGAACTGTCTGTGGGTGTGTGGGTGGAGAACAGATCCTTAGGAAATGCTATAATTTGTATTCCTGCTTCTGCTTGGCCGGGTCTGTCAGGGATCCGCTCTGCTCTGTGGCTTGTGCTGTGCTGGGGCTTGGAAAACAAGAAATTCCAGGGCTTCCTCACCTGTTCACAGCCTTGGGTGATGCCTTGGGAAGGCTGAGCTAGAGCAGAGGGAGATGCTGCATTGCCCAGATGCAGGGCTGGGTGGAAATGTGGATCTGGGGTGGGATTGTGGGAGGGGAAAAGGCAGAAATGCCTCTGTGATGCCTTGGGAAGGCTGAGCTAGAGCAGAGACCAGACAGAGCTAAAGAATAAAGCAGGGATTTATTCAAAGCATCTCCTCCATGGATGCACCTTGGGCAGCACAAGAGCCCAGCCAGGGCTGCACCCAAGATGAACCAAAATGGCCCCAAAATGCACGGCCGGGCACGGGCTCTGTCCCTGGGATCAGTTCTGCTCCATTTGCACCTTGCAGTTCATTGTCCCATCCCAGCTTTAGCCCCTGCAGTCCCACCCTGCTTGTTTTTCTCTCTCCAGCCCACGGGGTTTGTGCTCCTGGGCTGAGATTTGGATCATTTGTCCTTGGTGCCCAGCTGGAGCAGGAATTGTTTTGTCTCCCTGCTCTGTGCACAGAGCTCAGCATCCCCTGATGTGAGCCCAGACCCACACACTAAAGCAGCACAGAATGTGAAAATAGGAAATCCAAACCCTGAGGCGTGATGGGGACTGGGACTGTGGAAGAGTTTTGCCCATTGATGGGGCTGGGCTGTGTCTGTGTGGCCCCTGTGGGTGCTGTGCAGTGTCAGAGATCTCAGCTGTGCCCCCTCTCCAGGCAGCTCTGCAGGGCTCTGGGCAATTTTTCCACCTGGTTTCAGGGTTTGGGAAGATGCTCTGCACCTTTTCTTCCATTCTGCACCCTCCTGTGCCTCAGAGCTGCCCTCAGCTCCTCCTGCCACAAATCCCTGCAGTCCCCTGAGCTCAGCCCTCCTGGGACAGCCGTCCTTGACCCCTTTTGCTGCTAAATAACAGCAAAATGAGACACGTGAGGCTCCTCCCTGGTGTTCCTAGAACCCACCAAGGCTGAGAGAGCTCCAGGAGCACCATGGAAATGTCCTCTGTGGGCTGCGTGTCCCCATCGCCACTGGGCACTGCAGCCTTTGGAGGGACATCCACAAAAGAGGAACAAAAAGGAGATTTTCTGCCCAATGCCTTCACATTTGTGGGTGGGAACAGCTGGGCTGGTGTACAAGCACTGGAGCAGCTGCCAGGGTGGGTTTCTGCAGCCCCAGGAGAGGAGAGGAAAAAGCCTTGGAGAGGGTGAAACCTCCACCCCAGCTCCATGTTGGGTTGCTACCGTGGAAATGTGACTCACGCTAAAAATAATCCCGGTGTTGCTATAGAAACTTGCAGGGTTGCTACGTGTGAACCTGGAGAGGATTGTACCCTCCTCTGAATATTGTTTTTCCCTTCCCCTCAGCCCTGCTCACCCCAGGCAGGGCCAGCACAGCCTTGCTGGGTTCCCACAGGGTTTTGGGGTTTTTTTTGCTGTGCCAGAGGATGGGATGGGATGTGGCTGATGAGGCAGAACCCAAAGATCTAATCTAACCCAAAGACCATGTTTTGTGGTTTTTAATGTGGCTGTTGGACTTGAGGCTTCCTTCTTCTGAAGTGATTGAAAATAGGATCTGTGCTTATGTGACCATGGTCACAGGGGTTTCAGGATGAAGAGGAGACGAGAATGTTGACTCTATGATCAGAAGGCTTGATTTATTATTTTATGATATATGTTACATTAAGACTATACTAAAAAGAAATAGAAAGGAAAAGGTTTCTTCAGAAGCTAGCTAAGATAAGGATAGACAAGAATGAATAACAAAGATCTGTGTCTCAGACAGAGAGCAAAAGCCAGCTCTGCCATGAGTGGTCAGGAAATTTAAACACTTACAGGAGACCAATCACAGGTCTACCTGTTGCATTCCACAGCAGCTGATAACCATTGTCTACTTTTGGTTGCTGAAACTGCAGCTTCTCACAAGGAAAAATCCTAAGAAAAGATTTTTCATGAAAGATGTTTGCAACATGCTTAGGTCAAGCAGGTTTGGATAAAGGAGGAATCAGCCCAGATGTATGAATTGGCCTTACACTGAATTTCTCAACAAAAAAAGCCCAACAAACAACATTGGCTTTTCTTGAAGTTGTTTCCATTTTCATAACCATATTTTACCTACTCCTATCTGTCCACTTCTATTCCTTCCAGCTCCTCCTGACATGGATTTTTGAGTCCATGTGTGCATCCCAGCTCCCGTCCTTTCCTTAGGTCTGGTGAGGGGCAGGTCCTCCTCCTGCTCCTCCACCTCCTCAGCCCTCTGCCAGGTTTCTCCTGCTCTCCACCTGTAGCAGAGGGAAAGGATGTGTGGTGAGGTTCCCTCAGCTCTGGGGATGAAAGGTGCTTTTGTGTTCATTAACTTTATGGCAGTGCCCTCACCTGCAATGCCCACTTTCCTGTCCCTCCCAGCTTTGCCAGCTCCTGTGCAGGGAGCTGAGCTTTTCCATGCTTTTTAGGGAGAAAAAAAAAAAAAAAAGCCAAATCAGGGGATCAGTTCATGCTTTTCCAGGCTGGAATGACAAATGCTGGAAGTTTGCTCTCAGTTTGGAAAAGGGGCTGAGATGAGCCTTCAGAACAGCCCCTGAAGGACAGGATGGCTCCTGCACAAATTGTCCTCCAAGGCAGAGGGAAATTTCCCCTCAGTGCTGCCATGGCTTTGTCCCAGCTTCACTGAGGTTGGGATTTTGGGGAAGAGCAATGACCTCCTGTCTCTGCTCCAGATTTACAGCTTGTCCCAAACATGAGGTGGAGCTGAGTCCTTAGAGTCAAATTCACTGTCAAATTCACTGTCATGACAATGTCTCACTGCAGGGAATGGGAATGGTGTAGAGGAAAGCAGAAAAAGAAGAATTTTTGTTTCCCAGAAGAAAAAAAAAATCTTCTTTTAAAATCCTTTTCAAGTTGGTTGCTTTGAAAGCCTCTTTGTTGCCCCGGGAATTTTAGAAGATTTTAGGATTTTTTTTTTTTACCTCACACCTGAGGGTTTGCATTCCTCTAGCACTGATGCCAGCCCAGTCCTGGAGGTGATTCACAGCAGCAGAGGGTCTGGAGACCTTTCAGTCCTACCCCTGCTCAAAAGCAGTTGTTCCCTGGTGGCATCCACAGCCCATTTCTCCATAAACCAGGCTTTTGGGACTGGTTCACACTGGAAAAAGCATTTCAGCCCTTGCCTTTCTGATGCTGGAGAGGCAAAAAGGACCTGCTCTCTGCCAGGCTAGCAAGGGCTGCTTTTTCTGCATTATTTTCCATCTCTTCCACCAGTACCCAGACTTGAGAGGCTGCCAGAGAAGGGTTAAGAATAGAAAGACAGATGAGGCAAGCTTCTGGGAACTTCCCCTTCCACCGAGGCACAGGAACATGTGTTATTCCCTGCCCCTTTGGCAAACAGCATGACTCTCCCCACCTACACACATTTGCCAGCTGGTCTCTCTCTCTCTCTCTCTCTGTCTCTGTCTGTCTTGCAGCATCTCGAGCTGGTGGAACCTGCCCTGCAGGATCCACCAAATCCTTCTCCTGGCTGGCTGCCACCTCCTTCCCCACCTCTCTGTAGGGCAGAGGGTCTCCCCTCCTCAGGGGAGGATCCCCCATGGCACAGGGACAGGTTGTGTCCTGTCCCATCCCTGTGCCAGGTCGCCCAAACCCCCCCTTTTGTTTAAAACTTGGCAGCCCAGCCCAGCCTGCAATCAGAGGAGTTTTGGACCATCAAATAGTTGGGTTAAATATCAAGCTGTGATTTGGCTTGTCCAAACATTGTTGGGGCTGGATGGGCTCTTGTTTGGGATGTGGCTGATGAGGCAGAACCCAAAGATCTAACATGTTTTGTGGTTTTTAATGTGGCTGTTGGACTTGAGCTTCCTTCTTCTGAAGTGATTGAAAATAGGATCTGTGCTTAGGTCAGGCAGGTTTGGATAAAGGAGGAATCAGCCCAGATGTATGAATTGGCCTTAAACTGAATGTCTTGAGAAATCTCAACAAAAAAAGCCCAACAAACAACATTGGCTTTTCTTGAAGTTGTTTCCATTTTCATAACCATGTGCAATTTGTGATGTCAAGCTCCTGACAGGCACTGTCCTTGGGGAACTCCAGTCTGGCTCAAAGTAGGAGTTAAATCCCAAGGAATTTGTTCCCAAGATTTATGGCCAGTGGTATGGATGCCAAGGATTTCATTGCAGGAGGATCCAACACTTCTGTGCCTTGCTTTTTGAGGATGCACAGTAATTAATTTTATGAGGATGCCAACAGAAGTTAATTAGGGACTGAAGAGGCAAGGATGTCTCTGATCTCCTTTCCTTGGCTGAAGTTGTGATACTGAGGCCCAGCTTGGTCTTTTAACCTGGACATTTTCATCTGGGTGGAATATTGGGAACTGGAGCTGTAACTTGAGCTCTCCCTGTTCCTCCTGTGGATTTCTGGAGGAAATCCAAAAGGTACAGAGCTGGAGTTCCTTCAAAGGACTCTGGAGCAGAGTGTCCTAAAAGTGGGATGGAAAACTCCATGAGAACCAGCTCTCCTGTGCTATCCCAATGTTCGGCATTGCCATCCCATGTAAATATAAATAAGCCCTTCCAGAAATCTTGATTTGAGCTCAATTCCAAAAGTGGCCCCAGGCCAATGTTTCTTTGGGACAAATCCTCCTAAAACCCTCCCAGCTTTAGGACTCACCAGCTCCCAGAGCATCAGTCTTGGACTCTGCGGTGCAGGTGATGAGTTTGGCAAGGGGACATTGCTGCTGTGACACCCAGCAGAGAGTTCCCAAGGGAGGAAGGAGTTTTGATCACCAGGAGACCTTGGTGCCCTCTCCCTCCTTCACGTGGGTAATTTATGTGCTCTCCCTGCCTCCATTTCCATTGGTAGTTTGGATGTACTCACACTCTGCTTCTATCATGCCTCATCAGCCTCCTTTAATTAGGTGCTAAGATCATCAGGGGAAGAACATTTAGCACATAAGGCAGCTCCAGTACATTTAATGAATAATAACAAATGCGCTTTCTTAATTAATTTTTTTTCCCTTCTCTTACAAAATAACGTGTTGGTGGCTTAATCAGCAACCTGCCCCATGCTCTGCCCCAGAGATAGGGGTCCTGAGGGGGCTTAGAGCCTGCAGTTTGTGTGGCAGGGTTGGGAGGGATTCTCTGGCAGGATGGGAATGCTCCTGTGGGGTAACTCCACTTTGTGAAGTGGAGAAGAGAATCAGAATGAGTTGGGTTGGGTTGGGCTGGGTTGGGTTGGGAGGAACCTTAAATAAATCTCATTCCAACTCATTGCCACAGCCAGGTTCACCTTTCACTAGACCAGGCTGCTCAGAGCCCTGTTCAGTCTGGCTTTGGACACTTGCAGGGATGGGAACAACGTTGGGCATTCTGTGCCAGGAGCTCACCTCCCTCACAGTAATGAATTTCTTCTAATACCCAATCTGTACCTACCCCCTGTCAGTGTGAAGCCATTCCCCCTTGTCCTATCACTCCAGTTGCTCTGTAAAAAGTCTCTCTCTGTCTTTCTTGTAGGTTCCCTTCAGCTCCCATCCCTTGTAGGTCACAGTTAGGTCCCCCCATAGCTTCTCTTCTCCAGGCTGAACATTGGAAATTCCTTTAGCTTTTCCTCACAGAAGAAGTGTTCCCTCCCTGTAACCATCTTGGTGGAATCCAACAGCTCCATGTCCCTCGTGTGCTGGGGAAAAGGGGATTTCTTCTCACATGGAAACTCAATAGTTTTCCACTGGGCTTGTGCACGTCACAATTTTGTCTCAAATCACAACAGTTTGTGCTCTAAGGAGCTGGGATTTGCAATGGCCCAGCATTGAAATGGAGTCTGTGACTGGCTGTGTTTTGATCTATTAATTTTTTGGCCTTTTGCAGTTGCCTCAAGGTGCAGCCTTCTGCTTGTGCCACCCCAGTCTTGATCTAGGGACACCCCAAACCCACCTGTAAGCAGCTTGATGTGACAGTCACAAGTCCAGGCTGTGATATCCCAGCTGGGTTTCTTCTGTCTCCTGGCATTGGGATGTTCATTTTGCTTGGGCTGCCCCATTTCCTCTTGTCTCAGTTATTATCCAGAAAAAAAAAAAAAATAAAAAAAGGAGCTCAGGAATGCTCAGCTTCTCCTGCAGAACTCTCTGAGATCCGTGGAAGAAAGCTGTCATATCTTAGGAAGTCGTCACATTAAAGTGGTAATTCTTGGTGTTTAAACAGGATCTGATGACAGATGGGATTAAATGCAAAGCAGCTTGTTATGAGGTTTTAATAACTGTGACAGACCTGGGGAAAGTGGTGTGGGGGGTGTGAGTGATCCAGGGAAGGCAGAAGCACATGATGCAGATGACAGCTGATGGCATTGCCCAGGAGGGAGGAAGGGATTGTGCTGCAAGAAATTTGTGTGAATGTTTTGGGGAGAAGGGAAGAGGAAGGGAAAAAAAAAATCACCCAAACAGAGGAAAACTCCCCGTTCCCACTGTTCTGCCATGTAGCAGAGCTGCTCGTGACAGCACAGCACTGAGTGCCAGGTGATGTGGCCACTAAATATAGGGGGAAAATATGTCAGTGTTAGTGTCAGCTTGGGAATGAAGGGAAAAACAGAGTCTGCTTCCTGCCAGGGCTGGGGACTGCAGAATGTGCAGGCTGTAAAGCAAAGGGGACGTGCTCTCCTCGCTGTGTCCTCATCGTGCCCACTCTGTCCTGCAGGGTCCCCCTGAGGGTGAGGACAGGATGTCCCTGGGGGCTGGAGCTCCTGGCTTTGTGCTCTCCGTGGAGCAGTGCTGGGGCTGTGCCCTTGCAAAGGCTCTGCTGAGCACCAGAGAGGGATGTGGAGGGGGCACCTGCCTGGCTCTGCTGAGGAAGAGTCTCCTGGGGGTGGAGGTGTTGCTCTGTGGCTTGGAGGGATCCCCCCAGCTCTGTGGTGTCTGATCAGAGGCAGAGAGAAACCACAGCACCCTTCACAGGATCCCAGAATAATTCAGGCTGGAAAAGCCCTCCCAGACCACTGAGTCCCCTCTGTGCCCCATCCCCTCCTTGAGCCCAGCCCAGAGCACCCAGTGCCACCTCCAGGGATGGGGATCCAACCCTCCCTGGGCAGTGCCAGTGCCTGAGCCCCCTTTCCATGGGGAAATTCCTGCTGTGCCCACCCTGAGCCTGCCCTGAGCCCCCTTTCCATGGGGAAATTCCTGCTGATGTCCACCCTGAGCACCCTTTCCATGGGGAAATTCCTGCTGGTGCCCACCCTGAGCCTGCCCTGAGCCCCCTTTCCATGGGGAAATTCCTGCTGAGCCTGCCCTGAGCCCCCTTTCCATGGGGAAATTCCTGCTGTGTCCACCCTGAGCCTGCCTGGCCCAGCCTGAGGTAATTTCCTCTTTTCCTGTCAAACTAAATCTCGTGGTGAGGATCTCAGTGTCATCAGTAACCCTTGGTTGGACACAGTGCCATTAATAACCATGGAAAAACTCAATAGTTTTCCACGGGGCTTGTGCACGTCACAGTTTTGTCTCAAATCACAACGGTTTGTGCTCTAAGGAGCTGGGATTTGCAATGGCCCAGCATTGAAATGGAGTCTGTGACTGGCTGTGTTTCATCTATTAATTTTCTTTTGCAGCTGCCTCAAGGTGCAGCCTTGCTGCTTGTGCCACCCCAATCTTGATCTAGGGCCACCCCAAACCCACCTGAGGCCCTTTGCAGGCTCCTCCTGTGACACAGAGCAGAAACCATCTGCCAATGCTCTCAATTCTGAGCTTCACCCAAGCAGCAGCTCCCATTTTGATGCCTCCATCCTCCCTGTGGATGATCCAAGATGGGCCCCACGGTGCCCAGGAGCTGCTCCCCTGTGCCAAGAGCAGAAGTGGCTCCTCAGCTGGGCCCCACTTGCATCCTGCTGCTTCAGGAAAAGGGCTGGAGCTGAAATGGAGATCTGGAGCTGCCCAATTTTAGCAATGCTGGAGTCCTGAGAGCTGGGGAGCTTCAATGACTGAGCACAGCAGGAAGTGAGTTGGCTCCAAGCCTTAGAGGCTGTGGGGATCTGTCCTTACAGATAGGCTCCCTCTCTGGATATATCTCTGGGTGTATATATATATATATATATATATATATGTATATTTTATATGCACATATCCTTACTTCTCTTTTTAGGTCATTGGAGATACTTCCTAGTCTATGGCAATTCCTAAAAAGAAGTTTTGCAGCCTTCAGCCTGCTGTTAAGGAGCAGATGATGTTCTGATGATCATTCCCTTTCCCAGGCAGCTTCCTTTCATCTTCTGGGTTTCTTTCATGGGGAATTTTCCCCCCCTCTCATGCTATATTCTGCTGAAGGCAGCTACATGGAACTGGAGGCTCAGTTGATCTTTTTGCTCGTTTCCACCCACAGAAGTCTGTCTTTTTTAACATCCTAAATACCTTGGTAACAAGATCATGGGTCTTGATTTGAAATCACTCTTTAAAAGATCTTTTTTTCTCCCCTTTCCTCTCCCAGATCTGAGCACCATCACAGGGGGAAAGACATTCACCCTCCCACAAAAGACTGAGAGGGTTTCAGGCCCCAGGTTCCCTTTGGTCCCTTTCCTAACAGGGAATTTAATCAAGGTTTCTTCTTCTCCTGAGGAAAACTCTGGTAATTCAAAGCATTGGAGTGGAGGAGAAGATTTGGCTTTTTCTGCCACTCAAAGCACAGGGACACCAGTGTGAACCCTGGCATTGCCTTCATGGGATGTTGAAATCACAGAATTATGGAATGGTTTGGGTTGGAGGGGACCTTAAAGATCCTCCATGGCCAGCCCTGCCCAGGGGGGTTTGCACAGATCCATGGCTGGGCAGGTTCATCCCACTCTGGGCTCTGCTGGGGCCACCTGAGAGCACCTGGTGTGTCCCAAATTCCACCTTCCAGCCCCAAACCTCCCCCAGAGGCAGAGCTTTGTCCCTGGTGTGTCCCAAATTCCACCTTCCACCCCAAACCTCCCCCAGAGGCAGAGCTTTGTCCCTGGTGTGTCCCAGATTCCACCTTCCAGCCCCAAACCTCCCCCAGAGGCAGAGCTTTGCCCCTGGTGTGTCCCAAATTCCCCCTTCCAACCCAAACCTCCCCCACAGGCAGAGCTTTGCCCCTGGTGTGTCCCAAATTCCACCTTTTGACCCAAACCTCCCCCAGAGGCAGAGCTTTGTCCCTGGTGTGTCCCAAATTCCACTTTTCAGCCCCAAACCTCCCCCAGAGGCAGAGCTTTGCCCCTGGTGTGTCCCAAATTCCACCTTCCAGCCCCAAACCTCCCCCAGAGGCAGAGCTTTGCCCCTGGTGTGTCCCAAATTCCACCTTTCGACCCAAAACCTCCCCCAGAGGCAGAGCTTTGCCCCTGGTGTGTCCCAAATTCCACCTTCCAACCCAAACTTCCCCCAGAGGCAGAGCTTTGTCCCTGGTGTGTCCCAAATTCCACCTTTTGACCCAAACCTCCCCCAGAGGCAGAGCTTTGCCCCTGGTGTGTCCCAAATTCCACCTTCCAGCCCCAAACCTCCCCCAGAGGCAGAGCTTTGCCCCTGCAGTCAGACTGGGGCCAGCACAACCTCAGTCCTTTGCTTTGTGCCACTTGTCACCATCCTCCAGTCTCCACAGCAACGCTTTCTGAAGGCCTGGCAGGGGATTAGGGATAAATATGTGAGAAAAGGGTTTTCTCCTGCTGGATGAAGGTCTCTCTTATTAGAAAGCAAGTAAAAATAACACAGAGAATGGTCTGCAAGCTGCTCTCTGGATGGAGGTCTGGATTTTTGGACTCTAAGCAGAGGGTCTGAAGTTGTGTCAGCTTTGCCTGGCTGGGGGTGGGATGAGGTGAGCTTTAAGGTCCCTTCCAACCTAAATTGTTCTGATTCTATGAATGTACAGGTGTTTGTAGGGCTGAAAGCTGAACATCACTGCTCCAGGTCCTTGATGGATGGTGATGTTGTGAGCTGGCTGATGCAATTGCAGAGTCTGAAGCAAATCTTGCCAAGTGCTTTGGTACTTTTTACTTTTGCCAAGTACAGATGTGTGAAGTGAGGCAGGAATTCTTGTGAATAACTCTGGTGTTAAAGTGACACTGGGAGTGGAAGGTGGGGTCAGCAGCTCATGGGGCTCACAGCCACCCAGGCATCCCGTGCAGGGGTGAGTCAGGGAGATGAGAGCATCACACAAGGATTTGCTTCAGTGGAGACACTGGGAACGGCCTGAGGTCACCCAGCACAGCCCTGGGTGCCTTGTAAACCCCTCTGGCTCATGAGCACAGTCAGATGTGACTCAGGCCCCAAGGTGATTCCTATCTCTGCCTGCTGCCCCCAGGTCACCCTGTGCTCTTGGAAATTGTCAGCAAATTCTGCCTTTATGAGCACAAAGTCCTTCTGGATGAGGGTGTGGGGAGAACATTTCTGGCTTTTCCAGATTCTTCCTTCTCTGTCACAGCAGCTGGGAGCTCTCTCAGCCTCAGTGTTTAATCACTGTGCTGTCAGACCAAGGAAGGTCTGCTCTGCTGCCCAGGGATCCAAACGGGATCCCAGACCCAGCCAGTTCTGTAAATCAGAGCTTCCCTCCCCGTCTCGCCCTGCAGACAGCATTTGGGATTGACAGGGTGTTCTTGAATCCCACATGCATGGAGTGACCTCTAACAGCATCCAGGGAAAGATGGAAATTCACTGACTTCAGTCCCACTCTTCATTTTTCATCCTGTTACCAAAACCAAAGGGAGAGAGCAGCCCTGGGGCTAATCCTGGGGAATGGGAGCAGGATGTGGGCTCCAGCTGGTTTCAGGCTCTGTCCTCAGGAACTGTGAGGCTTTGGCAGTGCAAACTTTGGCCTTTCTGCCTGTGTTCAATTGACATCCTCATGTCCCAAAGACTTTATGTAACAGGGAGGATTTGAGCATTTTTATCACTCATGGCCACGAGGCAAACAAACTCTAGTGAAGAAGGAAAGCCATAGTAATTGATGGTTATTTTCAATATTCCTTGGAATATTTGCCAGGCTTTTTGCCTGTCCATCCATATTTGCAGCTAGCAGGCCTTGGAGCCATGGTCTGGG